AAAAGAGAGAGAGAGCGAGTTTTGAGATGTGAGAGATTTGTGACGTTTAGCATGTTTGGGGTGTGTAGTTAATGTGTTTCTTGTGTAGTTAGTGTGTAGAGTTGTGGATAGTTTTGTGTTGTGTGTCAGAACAATGAGGCGACTGCTGTCTCCAGGTAGAAACAGGAGTGATACACCTGCTGTCAGACCTGCAGGTATCTGGCTGTGATGTTCTCCTTTATAGTGGACAGAAATTATTTTTTTGGAGTGGCACAAATAATTTGTGCGGCATCTTATTGAATGCAGAACAAGTGATTGTTCTGTAAATAGTTTGAAATGGTTATTAAAAAAATCAAGGTAAAAGGTAAATGGCTGCAAATAACTTTGTTGTTGTTTGCCAAACTTGTGCATAGGATTTTAAAATTGACAAGTTATATTTGCATTTAAAGTTATGAAATATGATTCATTAAACATGTTTGTGGTTGTTACAGTAAAAAAAAAATACTTTTTCTACTCTGATTTTATGTTTTTTTGTCTGATTTTTTTTCAAAGTAACTTGCCCAACACTGCTCATGACTAAGGGTCCTCGTCTATGTGGACAGGGTTTTTCAAAGAGCCAATGCTATTGTGCACAGTGTCCGCAGGACAAGGGACTTCTCCCAGGAGAATAGCATCAGTCTTTTGGACCATCCTGCATGTTCCCCTGATCTAAATCCAATTGAGAACCATTGGGGAAAGATGGCAAGGAAAGTTTACAAAAATGGGCAACAGTTCCAGACAATAGATGCCCTTCGAGGCATGCCAAGCATGCCACAACAAATTTTAAAAGTGATCAACAATAAGGGTGGAACTACTCATTACTGAGTTCATGTTTGGACCTTTGATTTCTCTTTTGGGGGGGTTTACGGGGGGTTTTGGAGGTGTGGTCCTAAACTTTTGATCAGCTGTAAAACAGCCTCTTTCAGTTTAAGCATTGTTTTCAATAAATTGCATGCTCACAGAAATATTTTGTCTCACTCCCATTTCTTCTTGTTGCATGTTGAATCTCGACTTAGAACCTTGTTAAGATCCAACCATGCAAAATATGATTTTTGCCATTTTTCAAGTGGTCTTAAACTTTTGATTGGGACTGTATATGTGGATTGACTTTCTTTTCCAAGAAATGAGATTTGTTGGCAATTTTGTGCCCTAGATGCTACTGTTTGGTCTTCACCCAATCATAGAAAAATACATCTGTGGGTGTAATCACCATTTTTGTACACTTGTAGCCACAGTGGCTAACCTTTATTTATAAATGTATTCTTAAACAACCCCCTTTTATTTTTGAAATGATCTCCAATGATGAA